ACGAAAAGAAGTATCAAGTAATATAATATTACAGAAAATAGAAACCTGTGTCATATTTAAGAATTATATAAAAAATAGTTACCTTACATTATTGTGTCATCATATGAAAAATGTATAAAAAAATAGAAAAAAATGTTATAAAATATTTATTATTATTTTTTAATAATAAAATTATTAATAAATTATGTAAAAATTCAGAAAGTAATAAAATATTACGAAATGAAATTTTTTACAATATATATTAAATTATAATGAAAATGATTAAATTTGAAGTAATCTGAAAATGATAAACCTGAAACAAAATATGGTATAATACTAGCTGTTGAATTTTGAAAGTTTATGTTACCATTAAAAATTTAGCATTGAACTTCGAAGATTTTTGATAATAAAATAATATACATCGAAATTTAACCATTAAATTTCGATTTCAAAAGGTTGTGACACATTCGATAACCTTCGAAATTCAACATTGTGATATAATTTCAAAGGTTTTCGAATTAATATAATTATTGATGTAAGACTATTATAATCTAATCTAAGATAATTTTAGTTTATATAAACTAAAATCATCTTTATTTTTATTTGTATTAATAGTTTGAATTGTTGAAGATGTGGTAAGAAAAGGTAAAATAGTTTTAGTAATAGAATTTAATATTTTTTTTTGTTGATTCTTCATCCAAATAAGAAATTTTAATAAGTCAATTTATAATAAATTTTATTCCATTAGAAATATCTTGTTTATAAAGTTCATTACAATCTGATTTTTTATCCCAGCCTGTATACCTGTGAATATACTCACCCAATTGTTCATTTGTTTATAACAAATACAACAGATACATCTTGGTTGTTTAATTTCATTATAAGTACATTCACAAAGTATTAAAGAATCTATAGAAGATTGTTTCAATGCATTACAATATACTAACCCATTACAAGATACTTGTATATTTCATCTATTCAAAATATACAATGGTCAAAGCTAATAACAATATTGAGCCAATTTATCAAAATTTATTACAAGAGAATGATAATAAAATCACATTGTTAATAGAATCAATGAAAAAAATATCTATATCAGTTAATGGTAGGGATATAGAAGCGGTTTGCGATTAGGGTTCAGATTGTTCAATTATTACATATGAAAAAGCAAAAGAGCTGAGCTTGGTAATAGATAAAATCTCATCTTGAATTAATGATATGATAGTGATAGATCTTGTCAGACAAGTACTATATAAAGAAATTTAAATATCTCTCCGTGAATTACTGAAGATAGTAAAACCCGAGGTTCGACAAGATATTATAAATTCGAAAGTAAACCCAGATATTACTAAAAAATGCAAGATACCATGTGGAGGTAAAAGACGATGTAAAGTTAATAAGACTTTTTTAAATGATTTTTCGTCTGAATCTGAGTCTGCATCCTCGTCTTCATCTGAATCGTCTAATAATGATGAAGATTTTACTGTAGATGTGGTAAAAGTAAAGAAACGTAATTAGTTATCATCATAGAGATGGAATGGTCTTGCTTACTCTGAAGTCTATCCTTTTTTCCAATATAGGTAATGATTACATGAAGCGTAATCTGAATTTGAAAATAATCGATGTCATTACAGCAAAATAGAGGTTTGGTTACCTATAGCAAATTCAGATTATTTTATTTCTAATATTGGATATATCAAAAATAAAAATGGCAGAATTTCAGAAGGAAGTATTCATAAAGGAGATAGTTATACAATAACAGCAATACATATTAATAGTACTCGTAAACGTACTTTTGTTCATAGACTAGTTGCAGAAGCATTTATCTCAAATCCGAAGAATAAACCTTTTGTTAATCACATTAATAGTATCAAGACTGATAATCAGATGAATAATCTGGAATGGGTGTCTCCCAAAGAGAATGCCAATCACAAAGTATTTCCAAATCCTACTGGTCGTGGAAGATCCCAAAAAGTTGTTCAAAAAACATTAGATAGAAATATTATTCAGATTTGGGATTCAGTAAAACTTGTAGGTGTTACACTTAATATTAACAGTAGAAATATTGCTACATGTTGTAGAGGAAAACGAAATATAATTAGTGGGTGGGCTTGGATATATTATAATAATTATATACAATCTGATCCTAATGAAGAATGGAGAGAAATAGAATTTGATTCGCAGAAATTTCAAGTATCATCTTTAGGTCGAGTTAAGTTACTGAATAGTATGATCTCACAAGGGTCATTAAGTATAGGGTATTTTCGGGTTTGTAGTGGATATCAGAAATATATGGTTCATCACTTAGTAGCATTGACTTTTTGTCTGAAAGAACAAGGTAAAGATTATGTAAACCATATTGATGGAAATCCTACTAATAATAAAGCTTCGAATCTTGAATGGTGCACACAAAAAGAAAATATGCAACATGCCATACATCTCGAACTTTGGAATGGTTACAAATGTATAGTTAAGCAAATTTCTGATAATGGAGTTACTCAAGAATTTCTTTCATTAAAAGAGACAGAGCGTGCAACTGGAATTAAAAGTCAAAATATTGGTGCGGTATGTCGAAATATTGTATCTCAAGCTGGAGGGTATCACTGGAAATATGTAAATACAATAATACACAATAAAGATTGATTCATTTAATTACTAATTTATTAATCTGTATTGTAGATTTGAAACAGTCTTGCTTGTTCTGGAAATTGATTTTTTCTCTGATAATTTACCATGACGTAGTTTTGTACTGGAGAAGTATAGTTGTTACTCGAATGACGTAAACATTCTCCAGCGATTGTCATAATACATCTCAGATTCTCTGCTTTGTGTATTACAGCACCATATACTGCTCTTAATTTACGTAAGTATTTAGGAATTAAATCATAACCTTTTAAAAATATATTGAACTATTTAACCCCTGGCTTACCTAGATCACCCATTCGACTAGAAAATATAGTATTCTGTATTCAGGTTAGTAATTCTTTGGCTTGTTCTTGATTCTTTTCCATAGATCTAAATTTTCTAGGGATATCTAGTTGGCCCCTGTTCTTTGCATAACCTGTTATTCCAGCATCTGTGATACGTAAAGTTATAAGTTCAACAGGGTGAATACAAAGCATCACCATAACATCAGCAAAAGCCTGATAATTAGGTGTGGTTTTTAAATTATACACATCTAATCTTTCTTTAACCGATTCTAATGTAAATTCATCTGAATAATCAATGGTTTTAGCCATTTTCAGATTGTCTATTTGAATTTTGTTAGCATCTTCTGTAATATTTGAAAATTTCGTAGCCTCAATTATATCAAATGATGCACCAAGGGTTTTTAATTCTCTTCTAAGCCGTGAAAGACGTGATGAACCAGCATTGGCATTTGATGTTGATAGGGCTAAGGCATAAACTTCAGCTCTTATATCCCTAATACTAAGTTTATCTCGTAAAAACCGATATGCCATTTCTCCAATAGTTTTTTGTAAGACCTGATTAGAAATAACAATGTTTACTGTAGAACAGGGCACATTCTGCTTGGTCTTATTTTCATTTTCCTGAATAGAGAATAATATATTTACTTGATCCTTACTAAACTCATATCTATTTTGCAAGATTCGTTTTGCTATCTCTCTGATAATTTCTTCTTCCAAGCTTTTTAGAGGTGAAGCTATGGCTATTTTGCAACTACCTTCGACAATATTTATAGTTTTGTTTTTCCCGCCTCTCTGATTAGGTATCGATACACTTACCTGTTCATTGCTAAATTTAAAATCATCTTGTAAGCGTCTTCACCATTGATTCCTTTTTCTATCATCTATAAGACTTTTGAAGAACTTGGAGGTGTATTGACTAAATTCAGATGGGTCAGTCTTAGAGCTGAGATTGTATTTTTCAACAATTTTTGTTATGATGACTGACATGATCTAAAGTTATAGTAGGTCAGGTAGGTTATAAACACTTCTTTAGGTTGTATCCACTATCGAATATATTTTTTCAAATTGAAATTAATTATGTGTCGAAGAAACTGAGCTTTGCCTGTCCTGGATTAGTATACCTATATCTAAAAATTATCAATAGATGCCAAACACATAATATATGTCAACGCCTTAGGTCAGATCTGTCAATTTGAAATATTAATACCACATAGAATATAACGAAAAAAATCATAACTTCGAGTTATGGAGACTCAGGCTATATTGAGTATCACATTAATATTTTATTTTTTCTCGTTATAATGCTTGGGCTAAAGCAAGTATATAATCTGGTCCTAAAGCATTACTCTTTATAAATGTGTCGTATAATGCATTTGGTCTATGCTTTGATGGAATTAAATTTGGATAATTGAGGAATTTCACAAGTATACCATTTCTCCACTCCCTCGTTTCTATACTATTTCAGTTAATTTTTAACAACTGGTGTATGGAATGATTATTATATACTTCAAGTAGTACTTGTAATAAACTCGTTTTCCCATCAATTAATGAAAGTAAACTTTTTCCTCGATTGTATGCAATATCCCAAAAACGATTAGACATAAATATGAACCATTTTCCCAATGTTAATTTTTCATGAATTGGAGGAACTAAAACTTTTTCCTCTTTCCAATGCATATATCCATCTCGTATCAAGACATTATATGCTTGTCCATTAATTGTGATCATACGGTGTCACCGGTGGTCCTTGGTTTCCTCAAGAACCACCTGATAGAGTGACTTTACAGTTCTTTTAAGGAGTTTATAGTCCTTTCCCGAAGGTAAGACTGTTGTTTCATTATTTTAGAAGGCACCACTG